TTCATTATTCATATGTTGGGCTGTTTCATGTTCAATATTGGCATGTTCTGCGGATTTGTAGCATGTTTGGCAATTCTAATAATATCCTGCAATAATATTTTGTAGGTGTGTGACTACTACTTCATGTGCTACAAATTGTACATGTACCTGACTACATGTACCTGACTAAATACCAGCCAGCTGGCATGGTACATGTACCTGACTAACTACAAATCGTACATGTACCTGACTAAATACCAGCCAGCTGGCATCGTACATGTACCTGACTAAATACCAGCCAGCTGGCATGGTACACCAACCTTTTCTTCTTCCTTTTTTCGTTAACGGCTTTGTACCTCGAATGCCGGGTTCTTTACAATCTGTATCACAATTTGTGAGTTCAGCAATATAGGTCCCTACTCACTGTACTGTACTGTGCTGTGTTGTGAGTTACTGTGCTGTGCTGTGTACATGTGCGCTAGGGACTGTCAGCATACCTTGGCACCCTTCAGGTCAGCAGCTGATTGTATCTGTCCACCATTCAGGTACAGAGATCCGCCGGTGCCAGTTTGGAAAGCAATATCACCATTCCTGCCGGCGCTGAATGTCAGTGAACCTCCATTGGTGGACACACGGGGCTCTCTATGATAACCATGGTGATATCACAACAAAACAAAACAAACACGGAAACAAGTCATGTGTGATCGAAGCAAAGATCTGTTACAGTGTAGCTACACGCTGTTACACTGCGACAGGTACCAGTATGAGCTCATACATAGTACGTACAATCGCTGTAGATGATGTATATTGTGGGAAATAGTGAGGTGTAGAAACAGTGAGGCAAGCTGAGATGGGACTAGCTGCACCTGCAGCAGGACTTATGAAATGAATGTCTCGCAAGACACGGTTATGTAACTTGACACACACGCACAAACACGGACACACACGGATGCACACACACACACACATACACACACACACACACACGCATACATGCACACATATGTGCATGCTTGAACGTGCATGCATGCGTGCACACACACACACACACACGCACACACACACACACACACACACACACACACACATACACACACACATACACACACACATAATTATTATAATATAAACGGACGCGGACCCGCGCACGCACACTGATCAAATGTTCACTTGCTCGCCATGTGGCCGCATTCTTGCCATTGTGCACTCCGTGGCACATCTGCTCTCATAATTTTACTACCGCCTGTGTGGACACACCGTTTCATCTATCTGTTACGATCCCTTCCCGGTCTACGAATCCTCTTGCAATAGTTCCTGCCATAACCGGCTCCTCGCGCTCCTCTGAATTATACACCAGGCAGAGTTCATTGGGATTAAGCGTGACTCTTGAAGTCCATGGCCGGAGAACGAAAGAAAGTGAAGTCTCGGTTTTGGAACTTCTATCGTCCTCGGAACTATCTTCCCGATGTAATTTCGCCAATAGCTACGTGAACGCCTAGAAGCCGATACTCATGTGGAATAGACGGAGTGCCATTGCAGCACTAGTCTGCAACCGAATCTAGAGCAGACGGTTTTCGTGTCCACCGAAGAACATGCCAATATCCTTTGCCAAAACGCCATCCAGTGATTGAGGCGTTTTGCTCAAACCATAGTAATGCCACTACTAATGGCCTAACCGAATCTAGTACTTACGAGTCAGTCACCGCCTGTGTCTGAGCAGCCAGTCCGCAAAGGAGAATAACAATCGCTAGCTTCATCTTCGTCCAGTGAGTGTCTACAAGCAAGAAGGCTATGTTTGCATGTGGCTCCAAGCTCGATCCACAAGCAATGAAGCTTTTTTCCCAGCACGCCTTCTCAGAAAACTCCAGTGTTCGAACTAAACCCGGATATTGACCACACACCGTCCCTGCCTGGTGGATCTACGTCTCCATTTGGTGGTACGGCAGATAGCTACAGCACTCAGCAGCCCCGACTCGACGCTAGGCTGCCGAGTTCAAGAGAAAAGTCCGCACTTTGTGAGCTTGTCTATTTTTTTGCTGATCTGCACGATGAGCATTGGGTATGGGACGGATGGCTCGCGCGATTCGCGCATATATCTACGAGCGAAAGAATTCGTCTGATCGCGTGATTATCGTGTGGCCAGTAAGAGTCATCATACTCATACTCATAGTTATGTCATTGGAACCTGCACCGTGGAGAGATCATCACGCCCAAAACGTGCAAAACTCCAAAAGCCAGATCGGGGAGGTCCCAGCCTGAAGAAGCGAGAGACCCAGACTTGGATAGGACCAATTATTACATGCATCCTGCGGTCTGCCACCTACCTGTCCATCCTAGCAGCCGGCGGCGCTTCTTTCCTCGAGTTTCCACCAGTGAATGGCTGTGCTTATTTGTACTCTGTGGTTATTGGTGGTGGCGCACGGTGTTCGTTCATTGTGGTGGTGTAGTACGAGTAGAATGTATTAGTTTTACTAGGGAATTCCGAACAGGCGTTGCCTTCATAGTGGGAACCCCAGGAATGACTTGGTGCTTGTGACAAATGCAGAAATGGGCTTAGCTTGAGGACATCCAGGTGGAGGCATGTGTCCATCTGTCTGCTGCCAAACATGAAAATAACATAATCATTCAGGCCGTAACGAGACGTAGATCTGGGTAGGTTCAGAGCGGCCGGAGCTTGGCCTCGGGTAGCAGCATTTGTGCGGTATGATGCAGAGCGCGGGGGGGGAAATAGCGTCACGGTTTAAAACAGGACTGGTGCAACGAGATAGACACCCAAAATCAACACAAAATGCTTCAGGTTTACACGGCGACAGAAAGTACATGTATACAGGTTATATTTGGTGAGAATGAAATCGATACAAGTATACTGATCATGGCCAAATACTCGCCTTAGGAACCTAATGCTGGTTGACTCAAGGTTGACTCGGAGTTTGGCAGAGAAGCAGTGAACTTGATATGCTGGCATAGCCCAAGGTGGTGGTGCATGGTGTTCGTTCATCGTATATGTAGTGGTGATGGTGCATGGTGTTCGTTCTTTGTGTTGGTGGTGGTGCAGAGGACATCGAGTACGCGCTTACATAATAATTATTATTGTGGCAGTGAAGTCAGTGGGGAAGAGATCTATGGCATGTAGATCTACAAGCATGAAACTGAACGTGTCATTGCTGTGCTGTGCTAGCTAGCTCGACCTTTGGCGGCTTGGGATTGATTTCACGTAAATTGTACGCATGCACCTGAGGTTTTCATTCATGTTCCAGTACAGCCGGGCTTTCCTACCCCCTCGATTTCTATTTTCTCTCTCTCCTTTTCGTCTGCCTTTCTGTCTGTCTTCTCTGTCGCACTCTCTCTATATCTATCTCCCTCCCTGCCTCCCCCCCCCCATCTCTCTCTCTCTTTCTCTCTCTCTCTCTCTCTCTCTCTCTCTCTCTCTCTCTCTCTCTTTCTCTCTCTCTCTCTCTCTCTCTCCTCTCTCTCTCTCTCTCTCTCTCTCTCTCTCTCTCTCTCTCTCTCTCTCTCTCTCTCTCTCTCTCTCTCTCGCTCTCTCTCTCTCTCTCTCTCTCGCTCTCTCTCTCTCTCTCTCTCTCTCTCTCTCTCTCTCTCTCTCCTCTCTCTCTCTCTCTCTCTCTTCTCTCGCTCTCTCTCTCTCTCTCTCTCTCTCTCTCTCTCTCTCTCTCTCTCTCTCTCTCTCTCTCTCTCTCCATTCCCAGTTCGCAAGGCTTGGCGGGGTTGTGAGAGGCTTTCATTTCATCTTCTCTTATTATTTCTTATTGTTTCTGTAGTTTCATCTCATTACAAACATTGTGCCGCATTTTCTCCATCTGGGCATAAAATCTAGACTGCCAACATGCTTGTAAAATCATGCACCTGCTTTCAGCCTACTCAAGCTCAACTGACGAGGGATGAATTCCCCCAAACACTGTGTATTGAGGGGGGGGGGAGTGGTGCTTTCTTGCTGTTTTCCAAAGCGGACGGTTCGATGGACTTCTCGTGTGCTCTGGATGGAAGTCGTGAGTCAGTCAAGTGAGATTCAAGTCGGCAGGAAAACACATTCTTCCCCTACTATCACCGAAGTCGCACCAACCTCTTCTTTATCTTTTTTTATAAATGTAACTTACTCTGTCTAGGAAACAAATCCTCAACACAATCAGAGAAGGCGACTGCAGGAGCAGCTCCGGTACCAAAAATGCCTACAAGTGCAAGGGGCCTGGACCAAATGGCAGACACAATGTTCGAGGACATGGCATGGCGGAAACTCTTATACGAGGCTATGGAAGGACGATATCGTTC